TGGTATTTTGGGGAACTCACTGAGATTTGTGCTTATGGTTTTGCGTTTAAATGTTTTCAGGTACTTATGGTTTCGAAAGGAAGAGCTCAGTTTGATCGCACTGCATCCCCTAAGGATTTATTCCGTACTGATTGTTTATGATTTACTCTGATTGTCTTTTTGGATAATGAATGAATGGTTTTGACTTAATTAAAACGAAAATTATACTCAGTATTTTTGGGACGTTACAGTCTTTAGATATAATTAGTATTTTATTAATTTCTTTATATTCCTTTTGTAAGACTATAAATAGTCGTCTATGTATGAATGAAGTAATGGGTTTTCTTATTTCCTTTCCCTCTGTACATATTTTCATAACTCAGTCCTCTATCACACTCAGTCACTCACATAAAGACATATTTGTAAGTTTAACTTGAGGGCATGAAGTTACAATCTAAAACTTTAGGAGGTTTTTACAAAATTAAGAGGCTTTTTTCATGTCCTACCAAATAATCTAAATGTTAGAAATTCAGACGATGCCTCTTAAATTTTCAATTAAGAGGCTACCAAATAACCCCAAAATGACTAATATTAAAATCACTTACGATTATTAAATCAATAAATGTGGTTCTAAGTATTTATTTTTTACCATATTACTTTCAATTTTGTTTGTTAATAATGGAGTGTGCACAATGGGTAACCCAACGAAATTTCATGAAATGGTCACGAAACCAAAGATGATGGTTTTGGAAATGTAAGAGCTATTCTTGAAACCGATCATAATTATTCGGGAAATCTCCAGAAAAGTCCTAAAATTTTACCCTAATTTACAAAAAAGTCCCAAACTAAAATTTGTTTACGAAAAGCATGGATTACCGGTAAAAATGGCGATTTGACCCCTTTTTTTCCGGTTTTCCGGTTTTATTACTTACCGGTTTCACTAAAGTCCAATTATTTTACCCTAATTTGCGAATAAGTCCTAAAATAAAATTTCGTGATAATTTGGCCCTTTTCTTCATGTAACATATATTTTATCGGTTTCATTGCTGACTTAGACACCTAGTCATTAAAATAGCTAATAAGATGGATACAATGAGTTATATAATGCTACATTTACTATAAAATTTGATATCCATCTCCTCGGCTCATTTATGACTATGTATCTAGGTCAGCAGTGAAACCAATAAAATGTGTGTTTTCCAGGAAAAAATGGCAGAAAATGAGTTGATGTCTGATGAGATTGACATATTGGGTTACATAAGATTAGATAGACAATTTGATATGTCTTATAAACGTAAAAAATAACGAAGTTGTTGTTAGTTTATGTAATTATTATAGTGTTCGTTGGATGCATTTTATGTTCCAAAAAAATACACAATACATAAGGATATCCAGTTTTATGCTAAATATAGCATTATATTACTCAACATATCCATGTCATCATCTCATTTAATGACTAGGTATCAGGGTCAGCAATGAAACCGGTAAAATGTATGTTACATAGAAAAAAGGGTCAAATCATCACTAAATTTTAGTTTTGGACTTATTCGTAAATTATGGTAAAATAATGAGACTTTAATGAAACAGGTAAGTAATGAAACCCGTAAACCGGGAAAAGGGGGTCAAATCGCCATTTTTACCGGTAATTCATGCTTTTTCGTAAACAAAATTTAGTTTGAGACTTTTTCGTTAATTAGGGTAAAATTTTAGGACTTTACTGGAGATTTCCCTAATTATTCCTAGATTTTGAAATTCAACATACAACCAATATTAAATTGTAAACTAATTTTTAGTTAAATAGTGAGAATACACCCAAAATATTGATTTTTGTATAGCTAGAAGTTTCACTTAAATATACATATTTAATAAACTAATTTTTAGTTAAATAGTGAGAATGAACCCAATATATTGATTTTTGTATAGCTAGGAGTTTCACTTAAATATACAAAGATGATATATTGCATTTAACTTTTCATGAGAAGACGGAATGAATAATAAGAATTATAAAATAATATTAAGAACAAGACTTTTCATCAACACTATTTTAGCTTATTATTGAAAAACAAAGAAATGAGATGGATAAAGTATTCGCATTGAATATTTAAAACTTTAAATTACAATTAATGGGTACCGACTAGATATTTATCGACTTAAGATTGATAAAGTTTTAATTTTTTTTTTTATCTTATTATGATTTAATATTTTTAATGAAGTATATTTATCTTTTTTCTTTTGAACGGCTAAGACACTCTTTAAATCTTAATTTTAAACTAATGAGACTTGAATTATTAACCTTTTTAGAAAAAAATTCTAAAAGACACCGAGTTGATACTATTAGACTAAAAACTCTTTAGGTATTTATCAATAATATTATTGTACAGTTCTATTTTAGCCAAATGCATGATCACAAAAACTATTAGTATTAAAATAACTAATATAATACTTTTAAATAAAACAAATTCTAATGCTCAAGTATGCCAAAAATACATTTGGATTCATTTTACATATTTCATTTCAACCTTTAAGGTTTACTTTTAGATACTTTAATTTGTGCTCCTTATATGTTCTTGCGGAACAAAAAGACACTTTCACAGTCGCTCTCCTTCTCAACATGTCGAAGCAAACATACAGAGTGTGCTTGTGTTTCCGGCGACAGTTCAAACTCCGGGAGGGTGGACCTCCGGTGGACATCAAGGAACTGTTCAGTCATTATTCTGAGAACCGGGTGATGACTCCGGAGCATTTGCACCGGTTCATGGTGGAGGTACAAGGAGATGATAAGGTGACTAAGGAGGAGGCGGAGGCTGCCGTGGATGCTATGATCAAAGAGCTGAAACACCATCCAATCTTTCACCGGAGAGTTCTGAATCTTGACACCTTCTTCCGGTACCTCTTCAGTGACTTGAATCCTCCTCTACCTTTTCCTCCCAAGGTATTTCTTAAGAACCCTAATTTATGATATAATGTTTCTCCATGCATTCATATCTGACTCTTGGATTTCTTCGATTTTAAATTTGTTTTCAGTTTATATAAGGAATTTGTGACACCAAAACCATAAAAAATAATTAATAAATTGAATCCATTTTAAGGTTTGAAATTCAATACTTCAGATTAGTTTTTTATATTCTACAATCTGTATATTATCCATCCTTCTGGTCTCTTGAAATTGAAACTAAATTTAATTATATTTCTTTTTTGTTGGATTTACGAAAAATAAAACAAAATATATAATCAATAGTTGAATGTTCAGAATACTCGCTTCATTTATCATAATCGGATAAAATTTATATCTTTTTAGTTACTGTTATTATTATTATTATTTTCACAAAAGTTAGTCATCTACAATGCTAAGTAGTATAGGAATTTAACAAGATAGTGATTAGTATTGAATGTGTTTAATGGAATGTGAGCGAAAGACATTGAGTCTCAATGAATTTATCCCCTCTCTTTTTTCTGTCTCTTCTATCTCTTCTTTCTTGGGTGTGGCATGCCATTGACACGATCCTTTCTTTTTCTTTTTTTTTTTTTTTTTTTTTTTTCTGTGCCATTGTAAGCTTACCTGGAGCTGGTGGAAGATATTGCTATTTTATTACCATGAAATTACTCCATTCAGTTTTAAAAGTAAGCTGAGTATTTAGGTGTATAAAGTTTAATAGATCGAGAATATTCTAAATTAACTGTATTGTTTCCTTTATTGACCAAATTTTAGTGATCTATAATATCATTGAAATTTTAGTGATCTATAATATCATTGAATGCGACTTAATGCAGTTATAAAAGACGTCAAAAGTAACATGGTTTGTTGTGTAATTACTTTTGACAGGAACATTGTACCTAATAATACTCATAAATTAGTACTTTTAGATAACTGCTTATTTATTTAGATAAATATTATAAGGGCTGTGCTATAATTACCCCTTAACTAATTTTACCCCCTAACATCAATCAAATCAACTTTTTATTTTTGATTTGACATTATTTTTTTCTTTTTTTTTCTTTTTTTTTTCTTTTTGTTTTGATTTTTTTTCCTTTTATTTTATATTTTAATATTATTACTATTAAATTCGGATTACATCTTAAAATTCGGTAAACATTATAAATTCGCACGACATTATAAAATTCGAACGACTTTTTTGTCCGTAATTAAAAAATATAAAAAAAATATTTAAAAACCGATTTTATATAGCCGTTTGAATTTATAATGTCTTCTGAATGTTAAAATTTTGTGCGAAATTTATAATAATAATAATAATAATAATAATAATAATAATAATCAAAATATAATAATAATAATAATAATTAAAAAAGAATTAAAACAACAAAAAAACAAAATAGGAAAAAAAAAAACAAAAAAAGACAAAAAATCAAATCAAGAGGAGTGGAATTGGAAAAGGAAGAGGAAGGGGTACTTATAGAAAACCTCATATTATAATTCCTTTTTTAAAAAAAAAATTAGAAATACTTACAATATAAAAGGAAAATGTCTATAGATACCATCCAACTATTTACAAAGTTTCATGTATACACATTAGCCATAAAAATGTTAGTGGGAGTCACCAAAGAAACTGAGCGACCTTCATTAATTAAATTAACACAAAATTGCTGATAAAAGGTAATAATTTAGCGTGTGTTTAACGGGTTTTTATAAACTTTTATAAAAGATTTGAATTAAAGAAAAAAATTTGTTTGAAGTACCAGTTTAAAGATTTTATTTTAAAAGAAAAATCTTGTAATCTAAAAACTACTTCTATTAGATTTTTAACTTTAAGTTTTTTATATAATTTTAGGTCATTGAGAAGCTTACATATAGTACTTTTGTCAATCATTTTTATAAAAATAAACGTTACATCTTCCCGTCTGATTATCAGCTATCAGATTTTACGTTACAACTATGATCAAACTCCCTAACACACTTGGCAAAGTTTTTAGCCAAATATATCTTATCAGACTATAAAGTTTCATTTGGCAAAGTTTTCAGGGACCCTTTTATTAAATAAAGGTAAATAGTTGATCACCTTTTCCATGTCGTATTATGCCTTTACAATAGTAAATTATTGGTATATTCAAAATCTTTAATATGGTGAGCTGGTGGTAGGCAATTAGTCAATTATATTAAACACATGTTTCAATTGTTTAATAGTCTTTTCTTCGTCTTTTCAAATTAAGGTCTACACGTGTCCATTAGCATTACTTGCATTTCATCAAAATCATATTGAGTGGATGCCATTTATAAGTTGATTTATTCAACATGATACACGCCTACACGGTTGTAATAACCTTTCCTCTATCTTATAAATTCATTAGTTTGTAACTTTGTTTTAATAAAAACGATTATATTTTTGATAATAAGTGGATTTATTTATTGAGTTAGATATAAAATTTAGTATATTAAGAACTAACCACTATTTATTTTATTAGTTGAAATTCATTTATTAATATCTTTTTTGGAAACGGAGAAATTTATTAACTTCTTCTTTGATTCGATAATCGATTATACAACGAATCTATTTGTTTGAGCTATGAGGGTTATTTATTTATTTTTTGAAACCGCAAACTATCTAAATCTACTCCTAAATATTACATATGTCTCCTAAAAAATTTGAACCCACGACCTCTTATTTAAGAGGATCACTACATACCGCTAGACCAAAATCCTTTTGTTGTTCTCATAGAAAAACCTGTGTATTTTGACATAAGCAAATAACATGCTTCTAAAATACCTTTTTTTTATGCTTCAATAAAGTGAAGTAAATAAAAATTTGAAAAACGTATATGAAAAAGGCTTAAAATCATTTAAGCAAAATATATATAAAAAAACGTGTAGGTTTATACCTATATGTGTAAATTAGCCATCAACCTTTTAAACGGCAAATTAGCCATCACTTAACACATATGATTATATAAAAAGAGTGTTTTTCTTCAACTTCTTTTGTAAAGAAAAATATTTGAAGTGCATTTTGCTGTCATTTCTGTTTAGGTCAGTATATATCGTTTTTTCTCATAAAACACTATCATAATAGTTTATTCTTTTGATAAAATCACAAGTGATGATGTATTAATGTATATTGTTAAAACACTATGATAATAACAGGTGATGAAAGATATGGAGGCTCCATTGTCGCATTATTTTGTATACACAGGCCACAATTCATATCTAACCGGGAACCAAATAAGCAGCAATTGTAGCGTTGTGCCGATCATTGAAGCCCTAAAGAGTGGTGTTCGTGTCATTGAACTTGACATGTGGCCCAGTTCCAGTAAAGATGATATCGATATCGTCCATGGAGGGTAACCATTTTTATATTTCTTACATCAAACTTATACTATGTTTTAATTAACGCAGAATTTGGTATATGTTTATAATATTTATTTTTCATTAATTTTTTCAAATCCTTAATTTTAAAATATTTTATTAACATTATAGATTCTTATTTTATCAATTGATATCTCTTATAAATTTTAGTTTAAAATATCGTCTATACTTTTCATGAATTTTTTAAATATCATATTTATTCATATTATTATTTTAATCAACTTTAACATGTTAAAACTTAAAAACTATAAATAACTCTTTTTGTGATTGTATATTGGTTAAAAAAGCACTCCTAAAATCAATCATATTATAAATT